CAGAAAACGTCAATTGAAAAAAAAAATTCTTCTGTACAGAAACAGAGTCCAATGTAAGGACAAAACAGAATTTATTAAAAAAATTGAATATGTAAAAATAGACACATTAAACGAGTTTCAAACTATATAAACTTATAGTCAAATAATATAAAATAGAAATATACCACAGTAAGTTTGAATTTAAGTTTATACATATACATATTACGTTATAAATAACGAAATTTATAATAAATGTCCACAAGAAAAATTAATTTCCTGTAGTCTGCTGTATACTATAAATGACAAAAATTTTAATTAAAAGTCTTTCATAAAAAGGTATATTTATTTAAAAGAACCATTTCAGGTTATATCACATAATGTTTCTGAAAAACTATTCCATCACCAGTACTGTTACTAGGTACACATGTGTGTAGTCACTAAATATACGAGTAAAAACCCTTTAAATATTGATAAACTAGTTTTAAATTACATTGCCGGCTCCACACATGGGAGCCAACGTTAAGCCAACTGTATTTCCACGTTCGGTGAGGCATCCACACATGGATGAATATTGGAGCGATATCAGTCTGTTCCCTCCAGAGCCAACGTCAACATATTCGACATGGAAATTGCGGCTGCTACTGTTGTGATAATTAGTGCATATAATTATATTTTGCTACAAAAAAGGCGAATTTTACGTCATTTTGTCTACAGCTTTACTTAAAGCTACTAGATTTTTAGAGATGCCGTATTTGGAAACTGCAGACTGAATATATGGGTGTAAACCTGACGTCGAGGCTCTGAGTCATATTTATTCTTTAACTAACTCAATTTTCAAATTTCCTAGCCTTTTATTTTGGCTGTATTTTGCATCAAACGTGACTTTTTTGTAATATTTTTGAAATTAGCGCCTCTTTCGTTTGGCTAATTTTATTTTGTGTCCATTAGGGTATTGCAAATAATATCCTATTCATAAAATCAGTAACGATGTTTCAAATTAAAAACAAATAAATTATAATCGGCTTGGGGTACATTCGTACCCCGCGTGGGAATCTGTGTCATCTGTATAATAATATCATCATACGCGCATATCGCAACTCTAAGAACAGAACATCGAACGAAATGCGATAGTTACACGTATTTATTTAGTTTCCCTGTCGCGTCGTAGCGTTGGCTTTTTGCATCCGCCGTACTTTGAAAATGCCAAAAGGATTATCTAGAGCCGAATTAGAGCGACTTATGTTTGCGGAGTCTGACGATGAATTGGAAGATGATGTCATAGTGTTCTCTGAAGGTAAAGATGGAGCCAGAAGTCACTGAAAAATTGTCTGACGTTATTGAAGCCGATAATGATAATGTTCGGCAAATTACAAACCAAGCAAATATAAGAGAAGAGCCTGTAAATCCATCGTATATATCTAAAGATGGTATGAATTGGTCAAAAATAAATTATCCTCACACACGAAGAAGTGTAAAAAAGATTTTGAAGAAACAAGCAGGCCTCACTACGTATAGTTCGAATTTTACCACTAGAATTGGAGCATTTTCGTTGTTTTTCTCAGACAATCTTTTAGGAATCATAGTACTTCAAACCAATAATAAAGCAGAACAGATAAATATTTTTGTTTAATAATGATAAGTAACTATTTATCAGTTTGCATCTTACAAATCATCAGATTCGAATTTTTTGTAATATGTTTCAGTTATTTTATTCTTTTCAGTTATTTTCTTTTTATTATACTATGGTTTCTTATGTTAATAGCAAAGGCAAATTTATTTTATTATCCACTGAACATCATGATGATGCTGTTGATGATGATGATGATAATATTGTACTGCACTATAATCATAGAAAAGGTGCAGTAGATACCACAGATAAGATGGTAAAGCAATACTCTGCTCGTAGGATATGCAACCGATGGCCAATGGCAGTGTTTAGCCAAATATTGGATATTTCTGGCCTAAACGCTAACATCTTATGGTGTATCAAGTACCCGTATTTATCTAGAGAAAAAGATGACAGACGTAATTTTTTACTAAATCTAGGAGAAGCTTTAGTAAAAGAAAATATTACCAGACGATAGATCAAGAAAAAAGATAACAATACGGAACCTCCAATTACACTAAAAACTGGGGTAATAAACCAAGGATCGGAGTTAATTCCCGATATAACAAAATCAGAAATCAAAGAAGCCCTGAAGAAAATGAAAAATAATCGAACCCTGGGTGAAGATGGAATAGTATCAGAAGCACTACAATTTGAGGGGATGTATTACTTGAAAAAATTAAACAACTTTTCAAAATCTGCCTTTACAACGCCAATATTCCAACATACTGGAACAACGCTACTATGATTCTATTACACAAAGCAGGAGACACAGCACATTTAGAGAATTACAGACCGAATTACGGACCGAAGTTGTTTACGCGAATACTAGTTAAGAGAATGAAAAGAAAATTAGAGACTTATCAAACAAGGGAACAGGCAGGATTCCGAAAAAGTTACGGAACAAATGACCATCTACAAAGTATAAAATCCCTAATAGAGAAAGCAGTGAAATACAATAAACCTCTAATAATAATAGCTCTAATATTTATCGATCTTCACGAACCCTTTGACACAGTTGAGCTAAGCAAAATATTACAGGCGCTTAAAGAATGCAGGCTAGATGATAGATATACTAAATTATTATACAAAATATACCTGCAGGCAACAACCACTGTCAGATTACATACTAACAGTAATCGCATAAAAATAGAACGGGGGTTAGACAAGGAGACCAATGTCACCTAAACTTTTTAATACGGCGCTGGAACATGCTTTTAAGAATTTGGATTGGATGACAAAGGGAATAAAATAGATGGAGAATATCTAAACAACTTACGTTTCGCCGATGATATACTTATAATAGCTGAAGATCTAGGTATGGCAAGACAGATGGTACAGGAACTCGTTGTGGCTACAGAAAATGTAGGTTTAAATATAAATATCTCGAAAACAAAAATCATGACCAATTTGGTACCCAACTAGAATATCAGTATTGGTGGGAAAGAAATAGAACTCGTAGATAGATATAAATACCTGGCACATGAAATTATGATTGGCAGGGATAACCAGACTCATGAACTGAAGAGAAGAATCGGCCTTGGGTGGGCAGCATTTGGAGAACTGAGAGAAACTTTTAAAAGTGAGCTGCCCACATGCCTAAAGAGAAAGGTATTTAATCAGTGCGACCTCCCAGTCTTGACGTACGGAGCAGAAACACTCACCTTAACAAAAGCCGCAGCTACCAAACTGAGAGTCACGCAGAGAAGAATGGAGCTGTCCATGTTGGGAATAACTCTGCGAGACAGAATAACCAACGAAGACATCAGGAGAAGAACCGGAGTGACTGACATCATCGAGAAGATAGCCAGACTAAAATGTAGATGGGCAGGACACATAGCCAGAATGACAAATGGGCGATGGACAAAGAGGATATTGGAAAGGAGGCCAAGGGAAGACAAGAGAAGCGGCGGTCGACCTCCTACAAGATGGACTGACGATTTGAGAAGACTCAATAAAAACTGGATAAGAGCGGCGCAAGATAGACGGGTTGAAAACACGAGGAAGAGGCCTATGTTCAGTAGTGGACTCTTGAGGCTGGATGATGACCAAACGATATAATGAGGGAGTACGATTGAGTAAGGCGTTGAAGCGGTACATGCAAGATGTCGTTCCAGAGTTGGCGCTGGTGAAGATGCAAATGAAAGCAGCCAGTGAACGATCTTCAAGTGGAAGTTGCTACTTATGTAGTCGAAATAAAGATCGTAAATTAAGGCAATTTTGTATGCAGTGTAAAAATTTTGTATGTGCAGAACACCATATCAAGGAAGTAATTTGCACCCGATGCCAAGAAACTTCAGACTAGTTTTCGGTCCTAAGATTATTTTTTATTCCTACAGTTAATTTAATTAAATGGTGATTTTTTTGTTCGATATACCCTATGATTTAATAAAAATGTGTTAATTTAAGATTTTATTTCATTTTCTTATAATAAAAATTTAATATACGCATTTTTTTCTCTGGGGTACAAATGGAACCCACATGGGACTCCACTTAATTTTACCGACGTGGAAGACGAAGGTCAAAAACATATATTTTTGTGAAATATTTAGATAAGTACTTTTTTGGGTACCTGAAAGGTACTGAAAAAACCAGATATGTGTATTATTTATTTATATAAGAAATAGCCTTTTGAGCATGAACCCCGTTCTGATCTATTGGCACCAATCCCTTTGATGTGTACGCAAAAACCGACAGTCCACTGAAAACTTCCAACGTTGAAACAAGTCATAAAAACGTTGGCGCCAACCATGTACACACATTGGACGAACGCTCTAGGGGGCCAACGTTAGCCCCCATGTGTGGAGCCGGTGTTAGGGGATACGGATATTTTAACTGGTTGTGCTTATTGCAACGCCCGCTATATTCAGGACTGTACTCCGATGCGACTAATATACTTTTTAAATAATACTTAAAACTACGTAAAATTTTAAACTTAAGCAGTGTACTGAAATGGATTTTAGGTAGTTTTGTGAAGTATACGTTTCAATTATTAAAGTTGAATTTGAAACAAGTCCAGTCCTGAGATAATAGATCACGCCCCTTTGTTTACATGGACTATTGCTTATCAATAAAATTATTATAGTAACAGTACTCATGATGGAATGGGCATTCCCAAAACGTTCTGTGATGTAGCTCGAAAGGGTTATTTTAAATAAATATTACTTCTTATTAGAAATTTTTTGATTAATTTTTTATAATAAATGAGTTACCAAAACCATGTATGTACTGGGTCCGAACTAAAATCAAAAGATATGAAACATAAGACCATTTTAGGCTAGTTAGCCAAATACAATATAAGGGTAATCGAAAATAAAAAATGTATTTACTTTACAATTCTAAAGATCCTTTTACTGTTAAGCCATATTATTTTAAAGTGCCTTTTTAAAACATTTATTTCTTTTTTAATTTTTAGGGACAGGATTAAACTTGCAACAGGTACAAAAGAAAAGGATGTCAGTATTAAAGACTCCTTATTAAAGGAGAGCGATTCCCCAAGCAAAGACTCTTCATTAGTTAAACCAGTGCTAACGCAACCGTCCAGTGACAATAACCATTCAGCCGACGACGCAAGTTGTCAGACTGTCAGTGTTAGTGCCGTGAGTGAAAGCACAGTCGCGAGTGATAGTACAACCGTAACGAACAACCAGACTACAATTATGAAAACTGATAGTGGTGATAAAAACGAACCTCATTGGTTGAAGCTCAAAAAAGCGGCCATTTCAAAAGATGTGGATACAAGTTCATTGACTCTGTCCAAAGAGAGTCCAGAGGAACTTAAAAGTAAGATAGAGACTGAGGTAATGGTCGCACCGGTGGAAAAGCCTAAACTTAAGCCTAATCTATTTTTAACTAGGCGAACGAAACATTATAGGTAAGATTTTTTTATTTAACACATCTTGTTAACACAAGCATTATTTTTCACACCGGTACCTTAATATTTTTTACAGCATCATTTAGACATAAAAAATCACCTAAAATATTCGTTTAAGAAAAAATAGAAAGATGTACTATTTCTTAGAATAAATTCTACCTTTTTATTTTTACCAGTTGAATTTATTTCTTATTTATTGTCGCAAAATAATAATATAGGCATTAATATGGTACTTAAGGTCGGTGGCCCAAACTCCAAACTTAGGCTTCCAAGTTTCATTGTATTTAATGTTTTATGTTCTCGAATTAATAATTATTTTAAAGAAATCTGATCAATTATTAATCACAAAACTTAAAAACTAAAAGTTAATTTTATTTTTATATGAATTATACTCATACAAAAATCAGCTTATTCTGACATTAAGAGTGCAGTTTGTTTCAAAGTCAGCCTTTAAGTGAAATTAGTTCTGACCCTGACCCTTAATCAGGCATTTTAGGGAGAGCGCACACCAAACTGCATGGCAAGTAGCAAGTAGCACGCGTCTAGCATGTTACTTAAAATATAACCAATGCAAACGAATGGTTAGAATGAATGACGTCACTGTTATTTTGGTGTGCGCTGAATCATTCGTTTTCATTGGTTACATTTTAAGTAACATGCTAGACGCGCGCTACTTGCTACTTGCCATTTGCCATGCCAGTTTGGTGGGCGCTCTCCCTTAGAAACATTATTTCGACAATAAATAAAGTAACTTATTTTGTGATGATTTATAACATTACATATTATTGCGCTTTATTGCTTTAATACAAAAAAAATTCTTTTTTATTGATTTCTGTTGGAGGTTTGATCTTCTTAACAACTTCATGGTTATAATACCAAATTTCATCTTTTATAGTTGTCCATATCCACCAACCACCAACCTTAACTATTAGCTAACACCTATTCACCGTTTTTATCTGTAATTTGTGCTGGATAAAATTAGTCAAAACAGGTGACAGTTACAAAATCACTTATTTTTATGTTTTTAATTTAAGTTCTAACACCCCTCTGTGGCTCAGTGGTAAGAGCGCCTACCTTTAAACCTAAAGGTCGTGAGTTCGAATCTCATCTGGGTGGAAAAATTTTCGTTTATTAAAAATTAATGAATGAAAATAATTTCGATCCATGTGCGATCGGTACTCACCGGAGGGAACGCAGACGTTCGGATACAATTAGCGTCTCTTAGCAAAGACAATGACGTCGACTTTGCTAAGTATCAAGACAATTACTCTACGCACACACACACACACACACACACACACACACACACACACACACACACACACACACACACACACACACACACACTACACTAGGTACCTGACTGTACCATGCCAATGATCATAGTTCTCGAGGCATTAACTCAATAATAAAAATAAAATAATTTAAGTTCTATATTTTTAAACTTGGTTTGCTTACTGTCCTGGTATATATGTATGTCTTTTATCTTGTTAGGTATTAATGGGTAAACAACGATGGTCTCAACTGTATAATGTGGTTAACATAAACAAACCACGAGGAACAATGATTAGAATAGGATTTGTTTCCGGATGGATCTAATGACTGGAATTCTTAAGACACAGTTGCGAAACATATTTGCTTTGCAAAGTTTTGTTTTTTTATGCTTGAATATTCATATTTATTTTAAACGTACTTTACTTACTGATCTTAGTTTTTTTCTATTTTTTAGATTCATAAAACATCTTAAAAAAAATCTGACAGTGACATGTGCATCACGCTACAGGTTTATATATTTATAATTAAATATTGATCCTTTTACTAATCCCAAAAGTAATATCCGCTTAAGTAAAAAACCATTATGTTAAGTTTTGTAAAATATTTAACTAGTTTATTCTTAAATAAGTTTAGTAGTATAATTACTTTGTATTTGGTAATTTTTGTATAGTGCTAGTTTATATAATTCAATCTGATATTTTACACATTTTACGCATGCACTTGTTGCTATATATGAACGTTTTCATCACATTTTTAAGAGAATATTGACAACATATCAATACTATTGATACTAATCAATAATATTGATTGTTTTTATTGTAATTAACCCTTCGAAGGTCGCGGTCATAAAGTGTACTGTATATGTCGCGGTGTATCTATGAGATACATTCGTTTAAGTTTAATGTTTCAATAAGATTGACCAAAAACTGATCGAGATCGGAAGAAACGTTTATTTTAAACATAACTAATCAAAAAATTAACAGATTTAAATTAATTTATTGTCAAGAGAAAATAAAATAAATGCAGTATTAAGACCATAACAAAATAAAAACATGTAATAACTAATATTATTGTTACTAATCTAAGGCAAAAATAACCCAAACACATAATTAGAATTAGCTAAACTTAATCAGATTCATCAGCGGAAGGATTAGTTAAAACGGTTATAACAACTGTTACAAACAATATTGCTATGCTTAAGACATAAAAATATGGTTACAACATTTACAATAGTATTTGGACAAACGCGTTATCTTTGTCGTACACCAAGAAGAACACCTTTTTATTTTATTGCCCGTTTTGGCAACATTTGGATCTGCCCCACTGGTTGAACTTTCCTTCTTGTTTCTGAAGCTGCAATCCTCTGTGAATACCTGTTGTAATATCCGATCACCGTTTTATTTGCTCTGAAAATAACTGACTTGAACGGTTTGGAATGAAGAGTCGACGTCATATTTTTCAATTCTGATTTAGCATGTGAATGGACTGTGCGTTGATATCAGCAACGTTCAAGACTTACGTCCCCTAATACTAGAAATTCCGTAAATAATAAAATATTTTCTAGTCGTAGTATGATATAATGAATACCCAAAAGCCCAATTTCGTAATAAAAATCGACCTGCTGCAGGATTTGTGTCTAAAATCGCCAATTCTTGAACAAATAATATGATCCCATAACTTTGTCCACTCGTGGTACACATTCATAATTCAGGAGGTCGAATCGCATTCACTTTACTGTGAATAGTCTAGAAGTCCATGCTTCAGGGTTTTGACCAGAAAACTAAAATAGTAATTAAAAAGTCTAAATGCATCTGGTACTCAGACCGGAATACACTGGTGTATCAAATCGACCTATTAATGAGCAGTACGGCAAGAGATGAGAGCTTTCGGCTTGGTGTTATTCCTTCGTAAGTCCCTACCGGAAAACAGAAATATGCCTGAAAACTAGAATATTATTATTCAAAGATTTATAGTTAACTACTATTGATATAATTAATAGGTCTAGTGTTATGAGTTTTGAGGTCGCTCATGCGCCCTTTACGCAACCAGAATTAATGGCTTTACGTGTCCTCTGAAGCACGGTGGTTGGAAATTAAAAAATGTTTGGTGTCAGTCCCGGCAATCGAACTTAGACACTCCAGCTTGATAAGCCAGTAAAAATTTGTTTTAACCACTTGAATTTTATTGTTTTTTCCTTGTTTCGTATTTAAAAACCAGTTTCTAAATTAAATAACGCAGAACTGAATTTGGTACATTATTACTTAACAAATAGCATAGTTTTCATTGTAATGTCTATTTGCTTTACTACTATAAATATAAGTACTCCAGTTGAGCAAAGTTGTGCAATAAAATAGTCGTATCCTTTGGCCCTCTTTGGTAAATTTGCAATTCCAAATATACATACGTTACCAATACAAAAACTTTTCAGGTCAATCGACGATTTATCTCCTGAATACGGACCCCTTCCTTTTGTAAAGAAACTTAAAATTCTCAACGAACGGCAGAAGCTAGAGGAACTCGAACTCGTCATGAAAACAAGAAGTTTTTCCTTGGATATTCCTGATAACCAAAGTTTTGATAACGACACTTTAACTAGGTTAGTACTTAACTTCAAATTATAGTTTTACTGTTATTGATGTTTGTAAAAAATTAAAAATAAACTTTAAAATAACCTATTAAATAATTTGCCTTGATTATAGAAATAATTTACATAAGTTAAATATATAAGTTTAAAAAAAGAATAACTTTAAAGCATGATATTTACAAATAGGTAAAAGACATAATAAATAAGACTTACAAATCAATTTAATTAAACTATCCAGACGACCGGTTTCGCTTTCTACAATATGCAAAGCATCTTCAAGTCTCGATACAAAGTTAAATAAATGCTGAAATAATAAACCCATATTAGGGTGTTGTCTAGTAAATATAAACAAAGATAAATGATATAAATTAAGTAATTATGTTAATATTACATGTCTGTGGTTTTTCAAAATGAATAAAAAGTTTTAGCAGACAAGGTAAGACCCACAAATTGATATAAAATAGTCTATTAAATTGTAATAAATTAGTAAATGAACAAATAAATAAAACATTACTTACATGCCGGTACTCTATTAATTGATGGTTGGAAGAACATGGTTCAATCTATACTGTATTGTTGAATGGAGAACTTAAGTCTGCTATTGTAATTGTTTGACAATAAACGGGAAGTTCTTGAGGAGATAGATTTTATCCAATGAAGTAGAGATAGGTGTAATGTAATTGTTTGTTAGTTGAAAGTGATGTTCTATACCATTGAATGATTTAAAAGTTATTTATATTTATTAAGAGATACGTATATTTATGAAATGTGTGTTATTTATTTAGATTTTAATTTTATAAAGGTCACAGTTGTATGACAATGAATGAGATTAGATGTACAAATTGTGTGGGTGTGCAATTCTTTCAACTTGTAATTATCAAATTTGTTTGGTAAAGTTCTATTGGCATAAATGGCTAATGATTGCAAAGTCAAGTATATAAAATTCTTAAAGTTAAAACAATTAAGGACAATTTAAAACACACAGAAAACACTTAAAGAGACGAAACAAACATTAAATTTAAAATAGGGAAGGACTTGAATGCACTACATCTCAGACATGGAGACAATGAGTTTTTTATGTTATCTATTAGATTTTAAAGGTTAATTTGACAAATGTAGGTTAAAGTATGACAGGTCTTCTTCTATTTCTAAATAATGTAAGCTAAGTTATCCAGTTTTATGAAATAAGCTGATATAAATGAATGTCTGTAAAATTTTTTTAAATTTAGATATCATAAGTAAGTTGATGTGTTTAATATTGGCATATTTTAACAATCATTAAATAGGTAAATTTAAATATAACAATATGAATAATTGAAATACATCTTCTAATATAACTAACTTAATTTAGTCAAAATTACAGAACAAACTTCATTGATTATTTGGTAATTAAACAAGTACATTTGTAACCAAAATGTATAACAAAATTACAAAATTTATTTGAAAATTATTGTTTGTGTGAGTTATCTGTCATGGTGTGTAATAAATATTTTTAAATATTTTATTCCAGTTCTGATATGTTAACATGGAACTAAAGTAATAAGTAATGACAATGATATTTACATTTGATTACAGTATTATATTACAGTAATAAAAAGTTCCATTAGACCAAGATATTTCCTCTGAAATATTCTAAATAATAATTATTTTTAAAGATGTCGCAAAGAGTACCGCTATCTCTCCACCACCGCAGTCTAAATTCATATTTTGTTGAATATAATTCCCAAAACCGTTAATTTAAGTTAAGTACCTCTATTGACCTAACTTAACTGACTTATTAATATAAATGGGGAAGATCTGAACCACCTAAGATTTGCCGATGACATATTTTTATATCTGATAGAGTTGCTAAAGCTACAAAAATGCTGCACATGCTCTATAAAGTGTCAAATACAATTGGTCTTAAAATTAACACCTCAAAGATAAAATTTATGACCAACCTTGTAGTCAGCGGTAAAATTCTGATTGAGAGCCATAGCATCGACCAAGTAATAGAGTGCAAATATATAGGGCATGAGATTCGCTTAGGCCGAGATAATCAGACAACTGAAATACAAAGAAGGATAGATCTCACATGGGCTGCCTTTGGTAGATTGAATAACATTTTCAAGTCTATTAGTTTGTTTAAAAAGAAAGGTTTTTAAACCAGAGTCTTTAACCGGTTCTTATCTATTATGCAGAAACACTGACTCTGACAAAAAGAACAATAGGTAAAATAAGAGATACACAACGCGCTATGGAAAGATCAATATTAGGTATACCATCAGAGATAAAGTACCAAACCTAGAAATAAGAAGAAGAACAGGAGTCACAGATGCAGTTGAAAAAATAGTCATGGCTAAATGCGCTTGGGCCGGAAATGTTGCCAGATTAACGGATGATAGATGGACCTGAAAGATTCTGGAATGGCGACCAAGGCAAGAGGCATATCGAAGCAGAGGACGACCACCGACTGGATGGAGGAAGATCAAGATAGAAATAGGTGGAAAATTTTACGGAAGACCTACGTTCAGCAGAAGACAAATATAGGCTAATTGATGATGACCTCTATTGGCAACATAAGTATATTCTTCTGTGAACCTTTTTACATATCAAGCTGTTGATCAAATATCAAATATCATTCTCTATTTTTGCTGGATGGGTTTTAGTTCTCAATGGTCTTTCGTAACCACTATATATATATATATATATATATATATATATATATATATATATATATATATATATATCCCTAATTATAGTTGCAACTTTAATAACTAGGATATATCTCTTAGACGGTTTTCTCAAATAGGTCAGATTTTTCTCGACAATGCAGGGCACCAATTCTCTACTACTGAATATTTAAATCTACTCACCCAGCGGATATGTGAAACGTCAAGCTAAATTTACCGTGTTGGCGAGTTTATGGATGCATTCGCTCGGCTTTGGCGTCTTAATCCAAACTTAACCATGTATTCTGAAGAAATAAATGCCCACTTCCGTGTCGTGCTAGACAGATTAGAATTAACCAAGTGAGAGGTGCTTAGTGTTCCAAGATAAAGAGGGTTACTTTGTGCTCCGTAAGCTTGGTTATTGGATGTGCTTAATTAGCAGCTTAATATATAAAAAGTGTGAAGAACACATGACAAAGACACAATTTGGCTTCAGGAATGCATTGGGTACTCGAGAGGCATTTTTTGCAGTACAAGTTCTCTTTCAAAGATGTAGAGACTGAATTGTGATATATATTTGTGTTTTGTTGTTTACCAGAAAGCGTTCGATAGAATAAAACATTACGAACTGATGAAAATAATAAATTTAATTGATCTAGACAGCAGAGATCGCCGTATAATAAACAAGATCTATTACAAACAAACTGCAGCTATTAGAGTTGGAGATCAGTTAACAGACGACATAAAGATAAAAAGAGCTGTACAACAGGGATGTATATTGTCCCCACTATTGATTATTACATATTCAGATCACATTATGAACCTAGCGCTAACGGACATACACGAGGGAATACTAATATACGGAGAACGATTCAACAACATAAGATACGCTAATGATACTGTCATTTTTGCAGACAGTCGTGAAGGTCTGCAGACATTTGTCTTAAGGGTGACTAAAGTAAGTAGGAGGTTTGGGACGATTTTAATATAAAAACAAACAAATACACGGTTATAAACAAAAATAGGATACCACCTGGTCAATTACTAGTTAACCAACAACCTATCACACAAATCACCAACGTTTGTTATGTGGGTTATGTGGGTTATGTGTTATGTAGGTGCAAACTTAAATGAATAACGGTACCAATCGATGGAAATTAAGATAAGGATCGAGAAGGCAGGATCAGCTTTCGTCAAAATGAAGAAAATCTTTAACAGCCACCATATAAAATTGGAAATAAAAGTTCGTTTACAAAAATTCTTCGTATTCCCCGTTCTTTCATATGGCGAGGAGTCACGGACCTTAACTGAAGCATAACTGAAGAGACTCGATTTAAGATGTGGTGCTATAGGCGTATGTTGAGTATTTCCTAGACAGACAGAGTTACCAACGAAGAAGTACTACATAGAATGGGTAAAGAGCGCGAACTTGTCGTAACTATAAAACGTCGCAAACTGGATAACCTAATGAACAACGATATGACCTACTTCGGACCATACTTCAAGGTGAAGTGCATCGGAAAAGAGGTCCAGGACGAAGAAGAATATCCTGGCTGCATAACCTGTGAAAATGGTTTAACTTAACCACTGCCGGACTTTTCAACGCAACAGTCAACAAAGTCAGAATAGCCATGTTAGTGTCCAACATCCGTAATGGATAGCCACCTTAAGAAGAACTATTTCCTGCCTTTAGACATGGAACCATATATGCAAAGTATAATTTAGCCATGCATATATTATTACTAATAGTCGTTGAATATCATTTATTATGCCAAAAATCATCTTTCTGTGCTGTGAACTAATATAAACAGATTACTGACACGTTGAATATAGTAGAAAATATGTACAACTAACAAATCTTTAACACTATATAAATATTTGACTAACAGATAGAGTTTTTATTACTGTATAATTAAAACGCTGCTTTTGAGAATTATTAAATTTATCAGGTCCCCCAGTAGGCTTTGTAAATTGGTGTAAAGAAAATTTCGGAAATAATAAAATTGATTGAACCTAGCAACAGAAGATGTCCCTTTTTATATTTATTGGTGAAAAAAGTAAATAGTCACCGTTTTTTTCTAAAAAACTAAAGATACTTTCACCATACCATTATAATAGTTTATAAGCGTCAATTCTTAATAATCTCCATCTTATCATAAAGCTTTTTTGAGAAATAATGAAACCAATAGCTGATACCGAATATAACGATAAGTCTACATTTAATAATGCAAGATCTAACTGGTCACCTCAAAAAATGACTTTAAGAGCACTTAAGAGGAGAGAAGAAATTTAGGAAACTTCAGAAAGAAATATATCACTTATAAATATTGTTTATGTACTGTCTATAAAGAAGTTATAAACAGAAGACATGGAAAACCTTTTTTAACTTTCACTAATCGAAATAAAGTATTCTCATATTTCTCAAAATGACCTCAACATTCTTGACGGCCACTGAAAAAACGATTGGAATATTTAATACGGATCTATTTTACGTTGGGAAAAGCTCGCATAAAAGGTCTTTAAAAAGAGTGTATTTTCGAGTGTACTGTAGCGATTATAGAATGATAAGCCTTATGAGCCACACTTTGAAAATATTTCTACGCATCATTCACAGTAGAATCAGAGATAAATGTGAAAAAGATCAGGATGAAACACAATTTGGCTTCAGAAATGGACTGTGAACTCGGGACGCCCTCTTTGCACTAAATGTATTACTGCAGAAATGTCGAGATCAAAGGAAATACGTCTTTGCTGTATTTATTGACTATGAAAAGGCCTTTGATCGAGTACAGCATCACAAATTAATTACAATATTAAAAGATAAAGGAGTTAGTAGTCAAGACATACGATTCATAGAAAAGTTATACTGGCGTCAAACAGCGACAGCTTGCATAAACGAAAATTAACAGAAATATGTAAAATACAAAGAGGTGTCAGACAGGGTTGTATACTATCCACACTGTTATTTAATTTATAATCAGATAGAATATTTAAAGAAGCGCTGCATAATTTGGAATGGGGCGTGAAAGTTAATGGAGTTATGATAAATACAATCAGATATGCAGACGATACAGTTATTTTAAGTGATGACATGAATGGATTACAATGCCTTTTAAACGCCATTGATACAGTGGGAAAAGAGTTTGGCCTAAACATAAACTGTTCAAAAACAAAACACATGGTGTTTAGCCATTTAGCACATCAAGATGCACGATTATATGTTGAGATCATATAATTCAAAGAGTGTCCAGTTTTAAATATCTTGGTTGCCATATTACTGAACAACTAGACCCAGATCAAGAGATAAAATGTAGAATCGAGATAGCCCGCACGACATTTTTAAAATGAGGTCATTCTTCTGTAATGATAACTTGAAACTTCAACTTCAAAAGCGTATGGGTAAATGCTACATTTGGTCAGTCCTCTTATACGTGTCGAATCATGGACATTAAAAATATCTACCATTAATCGTCTGGAGGCCTTTGAAATGTGGCTGCACAGACGTATACTAAAAATTTCATGGACAGCTATGCTGACAAATGTGGCAGTCCTTGAGAGGGCAAATGCTGCTCGCGAGCTGCTTGATAACATCAAATGTAGAAAGATGGCCTATTTTGGACACGTAGTAAGGGGAGACCGATATAATATTCTTCAACTTATTATGATGGGTAAAATCGAAGGACGCAGAGGAATTGGTAGAAAGCAGGCCTCTTGTTTGAAGAATATCAGAGAGTGGACAGGAATAAAGAAAGCTGAGCAACTCTTTAGAATAGCTCGAGACAGAGACAGTTTCGCCATGTTAATCGCCAACGTCAATGGGACTTGATAGGGCACGTTAAGAAGAAGAAGAAGAAGTATTTTCGAAAAAGAAAATTAGATGGAGACTAATACTTACGATTAAGAAATGAAATGGAGAAATTACACTTGGAGAAACTTAATCTAAACATTATGTGCGTAATTATAATTATATAGTGTGTTATATATAGATATACATCAACAATTTACACTGCAGACTAAATTTTATGAATTGGAAACATATTTAACCTACAATAAACTGAAACATATTTTTGTTGTTAGGTCTCACTCCGAAGGTTCCAGCATGCATCACGAACAGCATCGAACGGACAAAAACTTTTTGACTGCTCCTCTTACATCAAGCCCTCTACACTCTTCCAACGAATCCAATGAAACGATAGAAAGAAGAAACTTAAAATCCATATTAAAGAAGTTGTCCGAAGATACCAAAGAAAAAGATGTAAATGATGCCGCTATGCCGGAAAAAATTGATTCGACTGAGTTTAAAAGGTGAAAAATATTTATATATCGGTTTAACATATAACGTATAAAATATTTTATGTCAATAATTGTTCCATTGTTGTTTCTTAATTTTTATCCTGTTTATGATTTCGACTACGTATCTCTTTCTGATCTTAGATTAGGTAAAGAAATTCTAATGTACCAGTAATATATAAAATATTTCTTTAATTTTACGGTTTCGCTTGTTCCATACTTCATTCTTGTGTTATTTTTTACAAGTTTGCGTTATATATTTTATCTTGAATTCTTTTCCATTACATCCTCACATATGTCTGAAAAACTTTGTTATGTATATTTAAGAATAATACGAAATCTGCAACGACGCCGAAAACAAGAAAAGTCTATAGAAACATCTGATAATCATATAATACTTTCAATGCCAGGAAATGGCTATTTATGGATGTTGGATGCCCATTGATATCAGATATACTATATTTTGATATTTCTATTAGAAAATATATGTATGGAACTAAAACCTGAATTAGAGAAAACAAAATCAGCCTAGTCAGATGACCCCGATAACAAACCGAAAACCAATATCTATTGGTGTGTGTTGGATATTTAAATTTCAAATCAAATCACAATATCAATGTAAAAAAGGGAATAATTAAATCCTTATACGATAGAGCCAAAATAACTTGTTCTAAGGAAAATTCGTTCTTGGAGGAGAAACATTTGTTAACTTCTGTTTTATTAAAAAAATGATTATCCTTTATCGTTTATAAATAAGGAATTTTCAACAATCGATCGAATAGAACAGAACAACTTAGAACGAGATCCTACAGCATACAAAAGGAATAATATGAGGAAAATAACAATACCGTACATAAAGGGACTATCAAAAAAACTTAAAAGGATAGGAAATAAATTCAACATTTCAACAACATTCAAAACAACAAACACGTTGAGATCTATTTTGTCCAAAACCAAACCTAACAATGAACAAGAAAGGACAAAGAATTGCATTTATAAAATACCTTGTGAATGCGATCAGTTTTATTTAGGTGAATCATCAAGGCCATTAAATGTTAGAATAAGTGAACATCAATCTTATATTAAAAATAGGGAATTTGATAGATCTCAAATCTGTAAACACGCATGGGATAATGAACATAGGGTTCAATGGAATAGAATTCAAATGTAGTCCTAAAAGAAACGGATGGTAAAAAAAGAAAAATCAAAGAAGCGGCTCTAATTATGCTAAATGAGGCCAATTGTGTCGCAAATTCCTCGCAGAATGTAGTAGGATCTGGTTACCAATATTGAAAGAGGAAGTTATTAATAAGAAAATACCAGCATTAGTAAGTCAGTAACATATAGAGGATACATCATTTATGTTTTTTAAATAACGTAACATATAAAATCAGAATTTTGATGTTTGTTGAACGTAAACTAAATTCACGAACAAATACTTACAATGTCGGGATAGTATTATGAGGTTTTTTTTCCTGGTTTTTCCCTCATAATTTACTATGGAATCACTAACAGGAGAATTTTACTGTCATCATGTCATGTGTTTGTCTTTTTAAAGACGAATTACATGCTATGATTTGTTTCTGACGGATATTCTCAAGTTAAAGTTGATTTCATGTAATCGAATGAACTATCTTATAAGTAAAGTCGTCCCAGGAACGCAACTCAACAATATTGGCAATATCATTTTAAAGTCGTCTACTTTAAAATGCATAATGTATGTCTGAATTGTCAATATAAATGAGTCAGATAAAATTAAATTATTAGAAGAATTTTTCACTATGTAACAAAAAACAAAATTTGTTGAATTTACTGTTTGTATTTTGAGAACGATTTCCGAAGTGGAAATTGAAACGTCAATAAACGTATTTTTATCTTTAATTGTGGCTTATTCCCAGTTTAAAAGTAATTAATTTGTTTTCAAACTTCCACAAAATTTATTTTAAACTTATCACTACAGCTGTTTCGGATGATTGCCTTTCTCAAGTGATCTATTTTTGGCTTGGGTTTACAAATTTATAATCTCTAATGAAATAGGTTGAGGAGGGGAGAACTGTTTGTCTCAAGTTAGTCATTCCGAATTATATTTGTGTTTTTTAATTTGTTGATTTCCATAGATTCTAACAAAGGTAGCTTAAGGCCTTTATTTTGAATGTGAAGAATTTTAAATTTGTCATTAAAAGAATGATTATGATCTAGAAGGTGAAGTGCGTATGTCGAATCTGTTTTTCTATTCTTGAAAGCCCTTTTATGTTCTGCTATTCGTTTATCAAAGTTTCTACCAGTTTGACCGATGTAAGTTTTTGGACCCCATTCTTTTAATGACAAATTTAAAATTCTTCACATTCAAAATAAAGGCCTTAAGCTATATTTGTTAGAATCTATGAAAATCAACAAATTAAAAAACACAGATATAATTCTGAATGACCAACTTGAGACAAACAGTTCTCCCCCTCCTCAACCTATTTCATTAGAGACTATAAATTTGTAAACCCAAGCCAAAAATAGATCACTTGAGAAAGGCAATCAGCCGAAACAGCTGTAGTGATAAGTTTAAAATAAATTTTGTGGAAGTTTGAAAACAAAGTTTTCAGTGTTTTATTGTTACATAAAATGAATTTCCATCAAGTAACGGTCGAATCCATCAATTACTATTATCTTTTGTATTAATTTGTAATACTACTTGTCATATCGACATTCCAGAAGCACCTGTATTTAAACAATGATTAAAAGCAACGACATAATATTGGTTTTGATGAACAATGTTGACAATGACAAAACATAAAAAAACAACTTAAATCTAACCTATCCTAATCACGCAAATAACAAAGAAAATCTACTAAAATAACTTAATACGTTGTATTGCCTCCCCTAACCTCTATAACTGCCTGTACACGTCGGCTCATGCTGTCTATGAGGTTACGACTATCATCTTGCTGGATGTTTTGCCATTCCTCTTCTAGAGCCAAGCGAAGTTCGTTAATTGAACGAATTTTTAGCAAAATCGATTCAGTAAAAAAAATTAGAGATTCAGTCGAAAGAGGCGTGAAAAACGGTGACAAGTCTTAGAAGAAACTATGCGAATAATGACCTTTTTCATAGTAAACACATTTTGACTAGGAATTATTAGGGTGTCTAAAATTATTTTTTAGCTTACCAGTATATCTAACAAAGAATGTTCAACCAAACGAATGGTTGATAATTAATCAATTAACGTTTCATTTTGGCCTAGCTTGTTTTTGTGTAAGAGTGTCAAGGTTATCGCATTATAGTTTTTTATCCTTTCTGGATCATAGACAAAACACTTTTTGTCTTGTTTTTTTTTGTTAAGTCTCTTTCTCTATTTGTATCCAATCCAGTTTGTTTCATATGCAAATTATTCTCCGTCTTTATGATACTCAACTGTCTCTTTTTGTATAATATATCAGACAATTTTTTATCTAAAGCAGTATATTTTACATTCAGTTTAACATTTTGTTCAAATTATTTAACTAAATGAATTTGTAGTTGATCTGTCGTTGATGTGCCTACTCCGCTACCGATAATTTTCAACCAATAAATAAAAATAGGTAAAGAAATAATAATAAGACTTACTCACAATCAATTTAATTTAACAATCAGACGACCGGTTTCGCTTTCTACAATTTGCAAAGCATCTTCAGGTCTAGATACAAAGTTAAACTAATGATGCCGGTACTCTATTAATTGATGGATGGTAGGTCATGGTTGCAAAAATCATGTATTGTTGATTGGAGAACTTTAATGTGCTATTGCAGTTGTTTTGACAATAAACGGGAAGTTCTTGAGGAGAACAGATTTGATCCAATGAATTAGAGATAGGTATATTGTGGTTGTTTGTCAAATGAAAGTGATGTTCTTTACTATTGTATTATTTAAATTATTTACACTTATATATAGATATAAAAATATATCTCTGATATATATCAGAGATATATTTTTATATCTATATATAAGTGTAAATAATTTAAATAATACAATAGTAAAGAACATCACTTTCATTTGACAAACAACCACAATATACCTATCTCTAATTCATTGGATCAAATCTGTTCTCCTCAAGAACTTCCCATTTATTGTCAAAACAACTGCAATAGCACATTAAAGTTCTCCAATCAACAATACATGATTTTTGCAACCATGACCTACCATCCATCAATTAATAGAGTACCGTCATCATTAGTTTAACTTTGTATCTAGACCTGAAGATGCTTTGCAAATTGTAGAAAGCGAAACTGGTCGTCTGATTGTTAAATTAAATTGATTGTGAGTAAGTCTTATTATTATTTCTTTACCTATTTGATATGGACTCACACAAGCAACACATTCATGATTTCAATAAATAAAAGTTGTTCATTTTATGAACGATAATAGTTTTCCTATGAAATCACATTTTTGTACAGTTTTAACTGACACCATTTATTTAACATATTTTTTTAGGGTTGTATTGGGATGACATATTCTTGCTTATACTATACACATCCGTTTGTTCATAATAGAAGACAATGAATTTGGAATATAAACTAGTTGATTAGATTTTTCCTTTAAAAGTGGGTTCATATTCATTCGATAAGTAAATGTTGTTTATGCAAATAAACAAAATGATACACAAATTTGTATTGAAAATCTACAAGTTACCTTATTTGTGCACAAAATTATAGTAAACAGTTGTTAATTAGGCAAACATTTTTTTTATGACCTGTATTAAAGTGTTTATATTTTTAGGTTAATGCGAGCACCAACAATTGAAGGGTACGCTGCAAGGCATAGCAAACTATCAAAAAGTGTAACTTTTAATAGGGACACCCTCCAAAGTCCACCAAATAGTGCCAATTTAACAGGAACTCCACAGAGCTTATTTCCTATTGTTCCTTCACCCTTAGACAATGGCTTAGATTTACCTCAGGATGAAAAACAAATGGAATTAGAAAAATGTGGAATTCAGATCGTGCCTAACAAACCTAATAACCAAGTAAAAATTCACAAAGGTAAGAACTAATAATTGCCTGGTCAAATATGTACTACATAAATATGTAAATTTTTCAGGTTCCTTAGAAGATGAACAACAATATTTTGCTGATATTCTTATGGCTATAAAACAAGTGATGAGTGCACATCTTCAAGAGATCCAAGGGAAGTACCAACAGAAATTCGAAATGTTAGAAGAGGAAGTGAGAACAAAAGATGAAATCATCACGCAACTCAAAGCACATATCTCTGACTTGGAGAAAACCAACGAAGATTCTTTCACACCTAGTGTAAGATTTTTTTTATTAATTTCCAATCAGATAATGAGGACAATTATTTTTACACACAGTTATTAAATTTCGCAATTACTTGTAACAGCACAAAGTTGTCTGTTGTCTTCCAGGTTTAACCGCGTCAATTATCATTGACATCAAGACAAATTGGCCTTTTTTCAATTTCTATAGTTTCTCGGATCTTTCTTGGTTTATAGAAGCGGATAAAGGCTATGGTTCTGGAGTTTTCAAAATCAATTTTGTGACCTGTATGAGTAGAAGATGGTGTTGACCTAGATCTGAAATTATTTGAATTGCGAACAGAAATGGAATATTTATAAATTTTATTTGGGATTCTACGATTTGTTTGGCATATTATATAGAATCGGGGCAATCTGCAAAAGGATTTTCATAAACTCCATGCTGCTCATTTGGGATGTTGTTTTGATTAATCGGACAAGAGATTTTTTGGGAATTTGTCGATTTTATCAGTGCCACCTTTGATGTAAGGAAGGCTTTTGTTTGTTGAGGGTCTAAGTCTTTGAGTTGAGAATGAGTTGGAGATTATTATCTATGGATGCTCCTACTGATGTAATTTTCGCAGTTACCGTTTTTAATGAGGGCTTGTTTTAAACTAGAGCGCTCAGCGGGTCTACTTGCATTATCGCGATTACGTATTAAACTGGAGACAGGGGTAACAATTTGTATGAGGCAAGAAACTGTAGGGAAATGTAGAAAAAAAATTACTCAAACATATTTAACATGAAAGATAACTATGGGTAGATAGCGTGAACGAATTTAGTATAAATATTTAGCGGCATAATAAGCGATTTTGTTTACGAAACAAGTTAAAGAATAGATTTTTTTAGGATTCGTTAGATACAATAATTAGTAGAGAAAGGCACTCGTGGGAAGACCCGTCACATGATGAACAAGAAGAATTAGAAGAACTACCCCGTCCAATTCATGCTTGGTCTTCTTCTTCTTCGTTACCTTCACACAACGTAGTTTTGGATATAGATTCAACAACAGGTAAGTCAGTTTTAAATCACTAATTTATGATATTAATTTATGATAATAATTATCTATTTCTTTGTATCATTTTTTTTTATTTACAAACATGGTCGCATCAACCTCTGGGGTTATTAACAACATATTATTATAAACATAAACATGAGATAAGTAACTTATAAATAAATATCATATTTTGTTAAGAATATTAATGTCTTTAAGAAATTTCACAATATTTTCACTGGTACACTCACTAAAGATGTCCCTTATAACTGATGGAATTTTATTAGTTAGTCTGTCAGCACTATATTTGGGACACTCCTTCATGTAACGAGTCACAACTCATACATTTTGGTTGAAATTCCTTCTTCATGAGATATTCATGTGTGAGTTTGCTGTGTCCTAATCGGAGCCTGGTTAATACAACCTAAGGAAACGGCTAGGGGCGTTGTTAGTCCATCGTCTAAAATTTGGTTTAATTTCTTTTAACTTTGAGGATTTTTCTTCCCAACATTTAGTCCAATTACATATCAGCTTTTGTTTAAAGTACGGATTGAGATCTGCTAATGGTTTTATTATCGGTCTAATATTTGGTTAATTTGCTATTTCTCGAGAATTTTTATCAGCTAGTTCATTTCCTTTAATGCCTGTATGTGATGGTACCCACACGAAGACTAATGTTTTGTTTTCCAGCTGCTGCATCTTGTTTTTAATTAATTTAGTTAACGGGTTGCAAGTGTACATTTTTGACAATATATGAAGGGAATTGATTGAGTCAGTAATAATAAGGAATTTATCTGGTTTGACTGTTTGTATGTGAATTAGAGCTCTGTATATTGCATACAATTCTCCAGTTATCACAGTGGATTCTGTGGGCAATTTAAAACTTTGTATTATGTCTCTTATAACAAATGATGATCCTACACCAGAAGTTGTTTTATATGCACCTGTGTAAACTGGGTTTTGCACTTACAAACAGTTACTATTTACTGTTTGTATTTTGAGAACGATTTCCGAAGAGGAAATTGAAACGTCAATAAACGTATTTTTACCTTTAATTGTGGCTTACTCCCGGTTAAATAGTAATTAATTTAAAAATGACACAAGAAAATAGCTTTAGAACAATATTTATTTTTATATTATATTATAATATATTATGGTATAATAAACGATTATATTCTATTATAATATTTAATAATAGCATAGCACGAACCCTGTAACCGCATGATCTTTAATAAACACATTTTAGGTAGAGGTATTTTATTTACCTTATATAAAATAGACTAACATATGCAAATAGTAACACATTTTATTAAGATATTTTTTTTGTAGATACAGACACGGCTGGAGAGACATCAGAACCCGAAGACACCGAATGCGATTCGACAGAATATGAAAACTCCAGCCAGAATTGGGAAATAGAACTTTTAGCTGCACAAATGAGAAAAAAACGATCAGCCAGTTTGGATCACACGATCAGTAGACCGTTCATCAAAAAACGATTTATTAAAGGCTCATCGGTGGACCATGATTGATATTTAGTTTTATTATGTTGTGATGAGTATCTAATTTTCAGCGAAATTTCGTGGCAAAAGAAAAAGAAAAAATATTTAGTGTAAGGTGATACAAAAGATAAAAATACTAAGAGACGCCGGTTTCATAAAAGTCAACTGTAAGTTTAAATTTTGCCTCTATATAATTTAATTATCTTAAAAGCTTTTTTGTGGCGTAGACATTATTTGTAATTTAACCAGTTAAAAACAAGACTTGCATTTTATAGCCGAATTTCGTTTATTAGTTTAAAAACTAATTTTCTGTTTTCCAAAAAAGGATTTTTATATTTTTTAGTCCAAATATCATAGATAATATTCAAATTCATCGAGACTTGTCAATGCGGAAACGTTGGCTGCTTCTCGTAGTATTCTATTTTGGGCAATTTGGATCTTCTTTCTTTTCGTGTAATATGACTGTCTAAATACAAGAGATGCGTACGTCAGGATGGATAGTATAATGCTGTTAATAAGCCTTTTCTTTATTCTGAACGTTAGTTTGCTTCTTCCTCCGCTTAAGTCTATTGTTCTACTGTACAATTATTTCCTTCCGTACCTGTCTTCGTAACGTCGGATGTGAACGTGATCCCTTATTCATGGTGCCTCTTACGTTATTTAATTATCCGATGGGAGTGTCTGACATCCCTTCTTAAATATCCCTTATTGTGTTTTCTTAGAATTTTCTTATTTTTTACTATATTCACACGTCTTCTAGGGTGTTGAAGGCTGTTTGCAGATTTCTGGTTGCAATGTCTGAATTTATATGTTTAGCCGGAAATAGCGTGTTATCCGTATAAAACTCTGAGTATGGTTCGTAGTATTTTGGGGGAGTCTGCTGTGTAAATGCAGTCCAGCAGCAGAGACAGAAGAGATTTTTGTGGTACTACTGACTCCAATATTTCGACTTCGAGTAGGACTCATTCTATCCGAACTCTGAACTTGAAGTTAGCGAGTTACGAAGAAAGAAGTTCCGTCATGGCATAACTGTAAAATTCTTCATCTTGAAAGTAGTTCTTTGTGCAAGACTCTCGTACGCTTTATTTACATCTACGGAGCCTGCTTCAGTGTACCATCTGTCGCTGAAGCCTGTTGGATGCGATCTGTGAGCCTAAGCGCCTGATCTTCACTCGAATGTTGGGATCTAAATTCAAATTGAGCTTCTGGTAGCACTTGTATCCTTTAGGTTTTCTTTTCTGGCATTAAGAGAATTACTCTTTTATAAGTTATGCTGACTGCTGGCATTAAGCTAATTGGCCTGTAGTTATTTGGAAAAGTTCTATTTTTTCTAGTTTGTGGACCGTGATCAAGTGGGATTCTTTCCAACGATAGAGAAAATTATGAATCTCATCTTTACGTTTGATATATTTCTCAAATAAAAGACTACTTTACCGAGTAAGTATTTCAGAGCTCTGTTTATTTTTCAACCGGTCCTGGCAGTTTCTTCGGTCATCTTCAGGATCGGGTCACGGACTTTTTCAGAGGATGCATAAAGTCAATAGGTGTTAGTTCTGCATCTTTCAGTCTTTAATTGTAGGTTTCTTCGACTGCCCTTGAAAAGTTTAAGTCTTCTTGTTGGTGATAGTTTATGAAGTACTGTCTTTCTAGCGTTCTTCACATGATTTCACATTTTTTTTTTATTTCCGTGTAGGTTTATCATTGGCTCGCTCTTATTTTTTATAAGCTTCTATACTTTTTAGATATGGTCCATATTTTTGCTGTCCTCTTTCTAGTGCTTCAAGTGGTTTCCCAGTTTTCACTCGTGTCTTTTTGGACCTCATGTTATGACTTACCTCCTTAGAGTGTTGGCTCTGTACTATCTTCTTGGGCTTCTGTTCTTATGGCTCTTTTTATAGCTCTATTATTTCCGTACATATACTTCTTAGCTGTTATCTTCGAATCTATTTCTGCGGCTGGTGTGACCTTCAGTAGTGCTATGGTTTAAGACTTATCTTATGATGTTTTTGACGTTTCTTTCTTCTCTTCTTCAGATGCAAATCCACTAACGGATGTTAGCGATCACATTTTCCATTAACTCTCTATTTCTTGCAATATGTATCAGAGATTGTATGTCGTTAATCCCTGTCCATTGCCTTATGTTTCGGAGCCAGGACATTTTCTTGCGTCCCATTCCTCTCTTGCCTTCAATTTTACCCTGGATTATAAGTTGGAGGAACTGGTATTTTTCATTTCGCATGATGTGACCTAGATACGCCGTTTTCCTTTTCTTGATGGTTTCGAAAAGTTGGCGTTCTTGGTTTATTCTTTTAAGAACATCTATATTTGTGATTTTCGCTGTCCATGGTATTTTTAGGATACGGCGATAAAGCCACATTTCGAAAGCTTCCAATCTGTTTATATCCCTCGTTTTGAGTGTTCAGCCCTCTACGCCATATAGCACCACTGACCATACGTAGCACTTAGTAAACCTTAGTCTCAGTTGAAGATCGAACTCAGAACAAGTCAGTACCTTCTTGAATTTTACGAAAGCTTGTCGAGCTTGCTCAATGCGACATTTTACTTCCCTGTCCGATGCCCAGTCTTCAAAAAGCCACGATCCCAGGTATTTAAATTTACTCACTCTTTCTATGGATTTAGTATTCAGTGTTATGGTGGAGTTTTCAAATGCATCCAAGTTTCTGGAGATGATCATGAATTTGGTCTTTTTGGTATTAATCTCTAGTCCCATTCGCTCACTGTATTCTCCGATTATAGTGACAAGTTGTTGAAGATCGACTATGTTGTCACAAATTAAGACACCATCATCAGCATATCGTATGTTGTTGATCAATACTCCATTCACCTTGATTCCCATCTCTGCATCCTCCAAAGACTCTTGAAATATGGCTTCTGAATAAATGTTAAATAAAAGAGGGGAAAGCACACATCCCTGTCGAACGCCTCTTCTTATATGTATGGGCTTAGATATAGAATTGTCTATTTTTAGCTGTGCCGTTTGATGCCAGTACAAGTTTTCAATGCATCTTATGTCTTTTTGGTCTATATCAACTTTCTTGAGAATCTGCATTAACTTGTGGTGTTGGACTCGATCAAACGCTTTTTGGTAATCTAAAAAGCATAGGAACACATCCTTCCTCTGATCGTAACAATTTTGGACCAGTACCTGTGTTGCTTCTATTGCTTCTCGTGTTCCTAAACCTTGCCTAAACCCGAACTGGGAATCACTGATGTCCCATTCACATTTTTTGTATAATCTTTGATGTAGTATTTTTAAGAATATCTTTAAAGTGTGACTCATCAGGCTAATGAGACTGTGATCCTCACATCTTTTTGCGTGTTGACTTTCTTGGGCAGGGGAATAAAGGTAGAGCGTAACCACTGTTGAGGATAGCAGCCAGTTTCATAAATTAAATTAAATATTTTGTGTAGTGCTGAAATTCCCATTTCATCTAGTAATTTGAGTATTTCTGACGGGATCTCATCTGGTCTAGGTGCTTTATTGTTTTTTGAATTAAATATTGCTTTTTCTATCTCCTCTTTGGTGATTGAAGGGCCAGTCAGATGGTCGTCTGTATAAACTTTACTCATGGGTCTTTCGTCATGGAAGAGCTCCTGGATATAATTTTCCCATATATCAATTTTCTCCTTTTCACCCAGCACTATCTGGTTATCCTGATTAACTATGGTAGTTGGTCTTCGTTTTCTGTATATTCCAGCAGTCTCCTTTTTATGTAAATACGTTTCTTTAGTTCTTCTAATTGTTTACGTTTGAACGGTTATCTATTTCTTTGCTGAATAATTTCTTAAAGGTTGACCACTTTGTCTTTTTCTTCTTGTAGGTCGTGAGATAGTCTTATTCCCATGTGCACACCTTCAGTATAATAGGATTGCAGTTGCCCGCTCCTTAATTAAGCGATTGTTCTTCTGTCTGGAGTTTCACATTCTTCGTCAATATTGTGTTCAGCTGAGTATGTAGATTTTCGCCTCCTGGTAAGTGGGTTGGTTCTATTGGCCCGATCACTATTGCTCTGTCTTTGGTTTTAAGGTATCTGAGTAATATTCTGTTGTTTTTATTTGTATCTCTGTTATTCTAGAAAGGTTTTGGCGTTTAAGTTTTCTTTTATGATAGTTGGTTTTTCTGTGTTAAAGAATACATCCAGGTCTTTGTCCATTAAGGGATCTTTGGGTCTAATGTATGTTGACATGATGTTAATAATTGTATTTTATTTCATTTGGACTGAAATCGAAGTTGCTTCTGTGGTATTGTTCCAGTAGTGCCAGCAGTTATGTGTGTTTTATTCCTTTCTCCATGAGGATAGCCCTTACCCTGAGTTGTCTCTATGGTCATTTATATGAAGTATCCATGTTCATGTCTTTGTTAATCTTGATTTCTCAGATTGCAACTATGTCTTGATCTTGTTTATTAATTTAACTAAGATGTTCATATTTGTCCATATTAAGCTAAGGCTCTATGAGCTTATTTTCAGTACATCCCTTAACTTAGTTATTGCTAATTTTTTCATGAACTTGGTAAATGCTTTTGTATTAATGGTTGCATGAAGGCCTTCATTAAGGCGAATAACTCTTCTAGTCTATTTTCTGATATGTTTGAAACTTAGAAAAGCTGAGAGAAACGTTAGTTTTTGTTACTGAGTTGAGCAACAAAAAGAGCGACTGAATTACTGAAATTCTAGGCGCATGTTCTTAGTGGGTAAATATTTATACTTAATCAACTACAGAAAAAATGTATATTGAATGGACATGCGATAGAAAAACCAAAAATAAACATGAATCAGCTTATTACAAAACATGCAACAGAAAGGAAACAATTAGGGCGGTTTCATGGAGACTTAAGCTGCAGACTTTGTAGCAGACAAACTGAAACGTTCAATCATATTTTAAAAACTGCAACGCACTAGATATAAGGCGCTGGTTTCTCTGAACACACTTCAGCGGTGACGGACAACGACTGCCGTCAACGTTTGAATGCTATGCCTAAAAGTGTATGTTTAACCCCTCTTTCAGAC